TGGAAGAGGAGAAAGAAGGGAGTGGTGAGAGAAAGGAGAACTGGAACAAGGGTAAATTGAAGAGGGAAGCAACACCTTCCTGACTGTTGTTGATGACTAAGATTGTAAACTTTTAGGAATTGCGAACGTAGCTTATTCAGTGGTCGAATTGGATCGGTTGACTGATTTCCCGTTTTCGGTGAAGCAGGACACCGGACATATTCTTCTCAACACTCCACTGAATTATGGAAAAGTGCGTGTATTGTGTTTTTAATATTGTTGGTTTTGAATTTTTCTATTTTCTCAAGTTTTCCTGTGCTCACTATATATGTTTTAAGGCTCGAGAGTATCGTTTCTTGGTATGCTTGCATTCCGAAAATCACATGACTGCCAAAGCAGTGTCAGTGGTGACAGTAAGAATAATTGACGTAAATGATAACAGACCAGAAATTGAAAACTCGCAGGAGCGTGTACGGATTCCTGAAGACTCACCTGTCGGAAGCAGTGTTGCTGTTTTCTCCATCTCAGATCCTGATTTTTCTGGGTCAAATCCAAAAATTCACTACTTTTTGAAAGAGGTCCACTTTTATTTAAAGGTTTTCCATCAATAACGTTAGAAGATAAATCAAAGCTCGTAACAAATACCGCAGGCGATGCAGTTAAAATCATTGACAATGCGCATCGGGCGGACCCGAACGATCATGCAACGATACTGGTCCTTGAATTTCGGGAAGTTGGTTGTCTACGCGGTACTTGGAGAGGGGACATTCCGTCAAAATTTCAAGTTTCGAACTTTTCTGGTTTTTGAGTTAACAATTTTCTTGCCAAAAAATTTCACGGGTCCGTTCGTGAGGCCACACATATCTGAGAGTTAAATTTGACACCTTTGACTTTTACGGGGCGCTGGGAACATAACCCTAAAATTTCAGCCCTCCAGCTTTCTTGGTTCTCGAATTAGCCATTTTCTCACCAAAAATTTTCACAGGGCCGTATGTGGGGACCCACGGATACAGACAGATCGGATTTGAAAATTTTGAGTTCTACAGTTCTACAAAATTTTCAGCTTTCTAGCTTTTCTGGTTCCAGAGTTAACGATTTCCCTTCCAAAACTTTCACGCGTTCGTACGCGAGGCCTGGACGGGCATGAAAGTTGGTACCGCGGTCCTCGGGTGGTGCTTGGCCGGGGAATCCACTGGCAAAATTTTAGCGCCGGAGCTTGTTTGGGTGCCGGGTTAAAATATCCGGACATACGTATACACCGGAGTCGTCACAATATGCGTTTTTATTGCATTTGCATATATGCAAAAACGCATAATCAATTTTGGAGCAAAATATTGCAAATGGAGCACTGGTGATGATCAGTAAAATATGAAGTTTTTTTTATCATCATGAGGTCAGCTATGAAGCGTAATTCTTCCTTGAGTAGCTCAGATATTTCAAATAATATTTCTACGCAAATACTGTCATAAGTCTTAGTTTTATTATTAATCTTTAGGGTAACGACAATGCTACTTTCAAGCTAAATGAAGAAACTGGCTGGCTAACTCTAGCAAAAGAACTTGATAGAGAATTGATTGGAGAGTACAAGCTAGTCGTGAATGCGAGAGATGAGGGTCGACGTGCCGTCCAAAAAACAATAACAGTAGTGGTCAAAGATGTTAACGACTCGCCTCCGCAGTTCAGGCAAAAGAATTACTTTGCTCAGTACAATTTGGACGAACTAAAATCCGGACAGAAAATTCTCAGGCTCGACGTTCGCGTAAGCCATGAAGAATTAATTATTTTCGAGCTGTTCA